ATGAAAAATGAAATAATTTTATTTGATTTTTTTCTTTTTTTTACAGAGCAAAACAGAAAATAAAACTCCATCACATTACATCCATCAATAACTAGAACACTTTATAATTTTTTTTTCTTTGCACTTAAAAGACCACTAAGCAATTGATCAGGTCATAAAACACAACATAGAGATTCTTTCTTGTTTTTTTTTTTACATTGATGTTTGGATTTGATTTGTAAATATCTGGTACCAGTTCAAGGGTTAATCAGAAACAAGACCAGGTTTCGTTCGAGGTGTTGGTGTATGAAATATCACGGTGTAATATGAGAAGTGTAGTAATTATAATATTCATGATGTCATGAGGTATTTGTACTCAACGTCAGCTGCTTCCAGTGAAACAGTGACGGAGACGTGGCTCATTAATGCTGAGCAGCCGTTAGCACTTAGTCCCTGATATTTTCAGGCTGCTGCACTGCTGACCCTGATTATACAGTAATAACACACACACACACACACACACACACACCAGTCAAAGACAACGTGCAGTGCTGACTTCAGCTCGATTTCAAAGTGAATAAAAAAAAAAAGGTAAAAAAAACACAAAGTCCCGTAGTTTACTGGAACCGTTTTCACGGATGAACTGCGATACTTCTACGACGTTTTGCTCGGAGGAGACGGATTGAGGACAAAGATGTTTATTCGTAATCCACTCATCCAAAGTCTCTTGACGTTTACCGTCTCGTAAAGTAAAGTAAAGTACAAAGTACGACGCAGTAAACGTGTCCAGATGATCTCGGAACTAAACTTAGCATCGTTTTAATTCCTTTTTCGTTAACATTCTTAACCTGACAGTCGCAGTGACCTTGGATACCAAGTAAACTAGTAACTGGATGTTAGTTACAGATTACTTGTCAATTTAAAAAACTTAAAAAATGTAAAAACAAATGGGAGGAATAACGGAAAACACAAAAAGTAGAAAGGCAAATGGTTTACTACGTGTTTTTGTTTTTTTCTGACTGTAGTTTACTCGACGTAACAGTGCAGTTTTAGCTAACGCTCGCTGTTACTGATAGTGGAAATAAATAAAAACAAAATCCACCAGAATTTTTTTTTTTTTTTACAAAAGGTTTTGTAAACAAAAACATCAAATTTATATTTAAAATTGCTTAGTGCCCATTTTCACTACCAATATGTTTATTTATTTTGATTTTTATTCTTCATTATTCCATTTACAGATTCAAGTTTTTACCATCAAAGCTTCTGCTTCATCATTTTTTATAAAAATAATTGGACAAACTTACAAGGCAGTAATAACAAAAGAGCCCTCTACACATGAGGCGTCAGATTCATGCACATTCTTCAGCTTTTTTTAATTTTTTTTTTTTTAACACCACACCAACCCAGAAATCAGTCGCTGCTGATTCTTTTTTTTACTAAGATAAAACCTGATAATAAAAAAACACAGTTCTTCACAAGACTTCAACAGACCTGGTTCACCGGGCTGTTCTCTCTCCGCTCGTCGTATAAACAACCAGATGCATAGAGACAATGAAAGTTGTCGTCATGGTTACTAAGATCAAACGTTACTAAGATTCAAAACTGTAAACTGCACCAGTACAACGTTCTGTCAGCGTCCACAGATCATTGTGCTTCTCCAACACCATCACGATCTTTCGTACTAAGCTTGGGGTGTCAAACATACGGCCCGCAGGCCAAAACTGGCCCGCTAATGTGTTCAATGTGGCCCGCCTGATGAATTTTGAAAATAAAAAAATAAAACAAACACTTCATGTTATGAAAATTACATTTCATTAAATATAAATACATAATAATAAGAAGAAAAAAACCCCTGGTTTAAACAAATAAAGAGACAAATCATTCATCTAATGAGGTTGTTTTTTTTTTCAAGACGATATAATCAGGGACAGCCCAAAATGGCACATGGTACACGGGAGCTGACCAATCAAACTGAAAGACTGAAAGATGTGCCAAAGGCTAATTTGAACCAAAAAAAAAAACAACAACAAAGGGAAGATGACTACGAAAGTCGGCAGCATCGACGTTACGATTGCAGTCGTAACTTGCCTGAAGAATGGTAGAAAACAGAAGGTGCTGAGATAAATGCTCTTCATCAGCAGCACTCCTGCAGCAACACTTAACCTAATGAGGTAGAAAAACCAATATCAAACCCATGTCCTCAACGGCCACTTAGTTTTGCCTTTAAACTACTGTAGTGCTGCAGATATCCCCCCCGTGCTGCGGAGCGTGGTATAACTCCTGTCTACAGCTGCTAACTGGAAGCTCGGCGTTCAGTTCTCCAGCTGAAAAAGTGCAACATGTCCTTGAGCTATGTGCCCGATTCCAAATTGTCCCTGTCGACACCTTAACGGCCGCGTGAATGATAGGCGGTTTAAATGTGTGAATGGGTGACATTAAAGTGTGATATAAAACCCTTAAGGGACTCGGAGAGCCTGGAAGAGTGCTATAAAATTGCATTCTATTTATTTGGCTATCATCGCTGATGTATGTGGTACAGCAGGACTGTATATAACTCTGCCAGCTAACGTTAGCCCCTGCGGCCATAAGGAAGAATGACCGACCCAGGTAAAGGAGGCGGGTCATGTGAACCTTGGGCCAGTTCGTGTTCACTGGGCATTACAAACAGAATAAATAACAAATCGAAAAAGGAGAAATTAACTTTAAAGATGAAGTGCCTTAGAGCAGAGGTCCCCGACCTTTTCTGTACCAAGTAACGGTATCTTACCGGTAATACCGCACCATCGTTGAAGGGGCGTTCAATTTTTAAAATAAAACCTCTTCAGTTCAAAACTGTGGCGTCAAGTGTTTGGAGTGCTCATAGAACCCAGAAGAGGAGGACAATAATTACAGGTCATTTATAAAGCGTTATGCTGATGACTCTCGAGTTTCAATAGGACATTACCGGTGATGAAATTACCACTGAGATCCTGCCAACACTGAGACACTGCTGAGGCTGTCGCTGAACACAAAGAGGAACAAAAGAATAGCAGTTAAAAAGAGTCCACACACCAGACACGCCTCGACCGTCAACAGCCCCCGACGGCCGATGCAGCAACTGTGGTGAAAAAACGTAATGAATATTTCAATCATAGTCTTCGTTAAAAAAATTAAAAAAGGTTCAGAAGGTACCCTGCTTCACCAGTGCCCCCAAACTGAGGGGCACACTGTCCAAGACCCCTCCAGATCCTGGAGCTGTGAGGTAAATACAGGGGGCGCAACACTTGACAATGTCTTTTTTTAGGAGGACGGAGGATGCTGGTCTATTTACATTTGGAACACGATGTCAATGTTGAAGTTGAAGTTGGACCTCTTGCAAACGAAGACAGTGGTAATTATCGGGGTCCGGGGTTTGATAACAAAACCTTCTGTCTCTTCAGTTTGTTGTTTTTGGTTCCACCCTGAGGCGTTGGACAGTAAATCAGGCACGCTTGACAAAGCAAAGAACGTCCACCAGAAGAAAGTGACCGTGAAACATAGTATACAACAACAGATTTTGATCAGTGATACGGTAAATAAATCTGTTATGATACTGAACGAACAGTGTGATGCATTCATGGACTCCACAGTGTCAAACGCCTAACGTATTAATCTCTTAGCGGCGCTACTGGTGAAAACAAAGGTAAAGGATGTGCTCTGAGAAAACAGGAAACTACAGGAAACAACAGGAAACTACAGGAAACTACAGGAAACTACAGGAAACAACAGGAAACAACAGGAAACCTGTCAAAGACCTAAAGGTTTTGTCTTGAGAACTTTGAAGTGATCGGAAGTTTCACCGTCCTGGAACAGGTTCTTCCTTTAAAGTCCGAGTGGTTAACAAACGTAGGGGTGTTTTGCGGGTTTTTGTTGACGCTGACTCAGAACATTTCAACAGAACCTTATCGTAGCCTAGTTCAGGCTACTTCTTGGTTTCACTGAGGAATCGGTACCTGAGGAAGAACTTCCTGAAATGAAATCGTAACTGTTCTCTGCTTTTGTTGCAGCAAACAAATGTAGAAATGAACGCGTTAATTTATAAAGATTAATCCGATGAAATATCAACTAAATTAATCGGGGATTCGCTGTGCACTCGATACCCGTTTTGTTCACATTCAGATGGAGATCGAGCGCGTTTTTGGAAGATTGCTAAACTGACACATTTTCACGTGAACATCATAGCCGTAGTCGTAGTTTTTATGACTTTGCATCACAATTGTTTACTTGGATTGATAGCCCCATCTGGAGGTGGATTAATGAATCGTAGACGTTCCTCCACCAAACTCTTTGGAACAGAGTAATCCCTTCACACGTTACTGCTTAGTTACCCCACACTGTTTATGGTGTAGCCCGACCCCAGCCCGACTGTTATAACCTCTGGTTCTCACGTGACCTGACCTTGTGACCCTGGAACTGACCCTGTACTTTACCTGAGCCTTTAGGCCGTAACATTTATTTTCAAAGGAAATTATTTTAGCTGCCGTCGGACTGAGGGCTGGAATGGACACAGAATCGATGAAGGCTGACGATATCTGTGTTTAAAACTGTGTACGATTACGGAAACATCCAGTTCCCACTGAATTTAGCCCCACGCCCCTTCATCTCTGAGTTTATTATATCAACGTTTAACACAAAAGGAGACGCTAACAGTCGGGATAACGGTGCGTCAAGTAATAGCTGGAAGAGATAGTTGCCAAAGGTGGAAGATAAACAAAAGTGTGTTGAGGTTTGTCAACAAATATGTGTGGAGTGACTGAATACAAACGAGGCTGTGTTGGTGGACAACACCCAAACTGTGTTTGTCCTCTTCTTACCTCCGCCCTGAACGATGGCACTGACTCTGAATTATACTTTAATGAGCTCGTAAAAACATGTTTGAGCACTGCACTGTGTGTACTGTGTGTACTGTGTGTACTGTGTGTACATCTAGGCTTCATTGCTTTGGCATGGCTGAGATATGAGTTTGATCCTCGTCGACCACCGGAGAGAAAGTGTAAAAACACCGTCACACAGTTTCTCCCTTGGCCTGCTCGTTGTTATTGAGTCCCGGTGAAGGTTTGCTCCTCATGCCCTCAGTGCCCCCCCGTGACGTCTCCTGAAAGAAGAGGTGTGGCATCCACACTGACGTCACGATCCGTTTGTACTCCCGCCGGAAGTTCTGGTTGAGGAGGCCATAGATGACGGCATTAAGGCAACTGTTGAAGTAAGCCATGAAGTAGCTGACCACGAAGAGCCACTCCGGGATGCGAGGCACCACTGACGCGGGGTCGATCGCCACAGCTAGCCCGATTAAGTTGAGCGGTGCCCAGCATATCGCGAACAGCACGAACACCACGAACATGGTGATGAAGTTCCTCAGGTCGCTGGGCTTGATGCGACGGCTCACCTCCGTCTTGACCCTCCGCCTCACCTGGATGACCAGGATCCAGATGCGCAGGTAGCAGAACGTGACCACAGCGATGGGAACAAAGAAATGGATGACCACCACCGTGATGGTGTAGGACGTGCTCACCGTCTGGGCAAACGTACACGAGTATATACGTGGGTCGTACTGCAGCGAGCCCACGAAAAAGTTGGGCACTATTGCAATTACAGTGAGCAGCCAGATGAGGGCCACCAGGAGCAGCGTGTTGCGGTAGCTGTACAGCTTGTCGTAGCTGAAGCTGTGGCAAATGTAGCAGTAGCGGTTGATGGCGATGGCCGTTATGTTGAAGATGGAGCCGATGACGCTCAGTCCCATCAGGAAGCCACTAATCTGAGAGAGAGAGAGAGAGAGAGAGAGACAACAGTGGTGTAAATTATTCCACAAAAAGAACTCAACAAATTTCTCCTGATGAGAAACAGCTCGACCTAGTGGCAGATGAGGGAATCTAACTTCCCTAAAATTTATTTTCCAATGTAAATATTTGGTCTTCTTTGAAAACTGCACTCAGCCGTGTACAAGTATTTGTTTGTATACTCACCTCGCACTGCGTCTCACCCAGTGACCAACCGTCGTGGAAGATAGCGTACAACACCAGAGGGTAAGGGTAAAACGCCACCAACAGGTCAGCGAAGGCCAGGCTCACCACAAACACATTTCCTGTTTGGACAAAATAAAATAAAATAAAGTAGTGATTCAAATATTCCTAACAGGGTTAACCCATCATCACAACCAGACAGTAAACTTATCACCTCCCTGTTATTTATTTTTATTCTATTTTAGTGCCGTTTGCTCTGAACTAACCTCCTGCCGTAGCCCTCACTGTGAACGCCGACATTTTTATCTCCACCACAGAGTCCCACCATTAATGGGATTCTGCAAAACCTATTACTTACACACATGGCCGTGGTATTAACCAGCAGCTCTGCCTTGAAGGAGGAAACATTCATCTAAGGTGGAGCGTGTGGAGCAAAGGCATTTAAGGAAGCACTCAGCAAGAAAAAAAAAAAAACAAAACATAAAAAAAAAACCCAGATAATTGTAAGTGTGCTCAAATGGATAAACTGAGTATGTTTACATATATGTTGTATATATATGTATATATATGTATATAAAATGCACATATGTTTATATATACAACACATATATGTTTATATATGTTGTATATACAAATATGTATATACAACATATATAAACATATATACATATATATATAAACATATATACATTTTATATATAAACATATATATGTTGTATATACATATACATATATATACATATCTATCCACTTATTGTTGCTCTCATACACAGTCGATATACATATATTGCCGTTCTGCAGTAAAGACTTTCTGTTTCATGAAGCACCTTCAGCTCAGAATATCTTCTCACCCAGCATGCATCTGTGGAGGCTGTGAAATAAAAAAAAAATCAAATAAAAAAATTCAAGAAGTCTCTCCGACGCCTCTAATAAGTTTATCATTATATTTTTGTCAGTTGGTGAGACAAATCTAAGGTTTAATTTTTTGGTTTTTTTTTTTTTTTTTTTTTTTTGTATTTTTCTATATTGATTATGAATGTAGAAAGCGTTTATTCTCAAGACATCTGTCCTGTATCTGTAGAGGACAGATGTCTTCGAAGACCACCCTGGTCCTCCACAGTCCCCCCAGAACCAGCAGACAGACAGAAGCTGGGAGTGGGCTTTGACACAACAACATTCACAGGAAGATGTTTCTATACCACAGACGTCTCTCTCTCCTTCACACACCTCGTCATGTCTGCACTCACAGAGGACACCTGCTGCTTTTACAGCATCCCTTCAACGCCTGACCTTTTCACCCTCCACCGCCTGCCTTTTCCAGCCTGCCACTCTCACCCCTCCCCCCTCCCCCTCCTCCCCCTCCTCCCAGGGGTGAGCACTGAGGAATGGCACTATCGTTCTGAACATGGACGGAAACTATATATAGCGGAGTGTTAGGGCAGAGCGCAGGGAGGACTGATCTGTGTTCAGGTGTCAGGGCTGTTAATGGCCCCGGAGTCAGGAATCCGACCTGAGATAAATGTCTCTGACGTGCCGTCAGTCAGGGAGCAGCGGAGGAAACGCCATCGCAGAGTGAATTATTCAAGGGTTTGTTTTGTTTTTTTTAACCTTAATTGGTTCAACTGTATGTTTATGGTCACAATTAGTCGATTTTTAGAAATTATTTTATTTTATTAAATTATCATTTTTTAATTGATTTTGAGTGAGAAAATATTAACATTTCAGATTTAACTGGACAAAAAAAAATCAAATTATTAGTAAGGAGAATATCCTTATTAGGGCTGTAGTAATTTTTTTTTTATTAGCAATCAATAGTTACACGTGGTACCATAGTGTAGCGGTTAGCACACCTGCCTCTTACTCAGAATGTCCTAGGTTCGATTCCCTGAGGACCTACATACTTGGTGCCTCCAGGGGGCAGCCCGTTGCAGCACATCCACTGTTAATTCAATATTTCAGTGAAGTTCATTAAATGAATTAAAGTTGATCTTCATCAGCTGGTGGTGGAGAGACAAAGCTCTTCATCAGCTAACTGCAGCTACACCTTCAGCTCCTCCTCCTGAAGGTCACAGGAAGTTGATAGATCTGCGGAGGTGAGGATTCGGCCCCTCTTCACTGAGTTGTACGTCACCTCCATCTGTTAGTATTGTATCTGGGCCACTCAGTCCCAGCAGCTGAACGAGTCCGAACCACAAACAGACTCGCGGCGTTCCCTCCATTCATTAAACTCATTCTGGGGGAGGGGAGGGGGCAGGTGGAGGGTGATGTTTTACATAATATTCAAGCGCTAACGGACGTAAGCGGTCGCGTCACGGCCGTTCATTAAACGACGAGCTCTCCTCTCTGAACAAAGATGATTGCGCCTCCTACGGTAGAAGGAGATCCTCCACGGTGTTGTCGTCATCTTGAGGGCCATTTCCTGTGCTCTCCCCTGCACCGGAGCAGCGGTGAGAACTAAAGTGGGCCACTAATCATCCCCAACACTCACTCACATCCTTCAGATGGAACACAGACCAAACCAAAGTCCACCTACAATTCCGAGCTCGTCCGTGTGCCAAAGTCGTGCCGTGTTTCCCGCTCACTTTACATTTTCATTTGGATTTATCGCTACGGTCGCTCTAATATCTGCACTGCATTAGCCGTACTTTCTGGAGACGATGCGAAGGGGGCTGCAGGTAAAAATGCAAATTCTCCCTGGAGACGTTCCAGCGCTCCTTGTGCCAGCTCTCAAGTCAGAGTTCCAAGAAAATAATGCAGCAGAGGAAGATGTTTCTCCTCCTCCTCGAGTGAGATAAATATTTTGTAAAGACAACGTTATGACCAAAGATGATGGGAAATCTACTCATTATCGTTTCTCCTGTTCCTGTAAGGCCTTGACAAGTCAAGGGTTAGAAGATGAGTAAAAAGCCGTATGTTGCATTGCATTTGTAAATGTACCAAAAATTCGTATGTTGCATTGCATTTGTAAATGTATTTTAGGCACATTTAAAGGCAAAAAGTCTGGTCTAATTACACGTTTTTTTGGTTATTATTTTATTTTCTGTCGGGGGGGAGGGGGGGGGAATGTTGCCGAGTCAGCACTTTTCCCTTTGCTCTTCAAAGAGACAGATAGACAGTTCACCTGTGCCGAAGGGTTCTACCCCTTCCTCCTGAGATGCCATTGGCTGGCAGCAAACGAGGCCACAGCCAATAAGAGTTAATTGCAGCCATTCATCAGTAAGAAGAGCCCCCCAGTGGTGGTAAAGATGGCTGCAGCTGCTGTAGCTAACGCTCCGTGGGTTAGGGTGTAATGACCGTTTCTCCCCCTTCAGCCTGTAAACGCCTGTGTGACCTACACCTGTCTCCTTCCTCACACACAATAACAACCCCCCCTCTCTGCCCCCCCCCCCCCCCCACCCCTCCACCCCCTCCCCCCTCACTCCCCACCC